TGTAACGATTCAGGAAGGCAACGAACAGCAGTATCTGCCGAGCAAGAAAAGCGCAACTGTGTTGGGCTGAATTATTAGCACCATTGCACAATTTGCTACATACAATGGAAAAGCGCTTGATACCCCCTTCTCCTTGAGTTGCTGAGCTTTAGAAAGAACGCCAGCACTGTGTGGCTGTACAGCTGCGAATGCCACTCCGCGAGACCACGCCCCAAAATTCTCTGCGGTCGAGCTGGCTCCTCACTTCGTGCGCGTTCTACTTCTGGCGAAACGCCGCCCACAAACCGCTTTCGATGTTATATTATAGGAGGATTCCAGATTTAGGCGGCCTAAAATTGGCGGGAAACTGTACAAAAACACCGAAAAGTGAAAAATCAGTTTTGAATCGAGTAAATGTTTGTAATGAAGGGACATAGCCGGTGAAAAGGTATTTTCAGATCTTTTCGCTGATTTTAAGCCACGCAATGCTTTGCAAATTTGTTCATTCAAACACTCATAATATCTTTAGGGAACCTATTCCACAAAAAAAGGAAAGAGTGTTTGGAACCAGGTTACCGTTAGAACCGTTTGGAACCCAAAAAAATGTGAACACTGTTTGATCGTTAGTAACTCCATTGCTTTCATGTCTTTCGCCGGGCTTGAGCCACCAGTCTGTGGAGCGAGGTTCAACTTAGATTTGTAGTTCGGAGCAAACCACCGATTGCTGTTCGTTACTGTAGGGTTACGGTAAGAATTTCTAGCATGTGGATCCATTGTGAAGTATGCCATTTGACAAAAATTTTCTCAAAAAATCTAATAAATTGTGTACTAGGGTTTTCGTGCACGCTGATTCCATTAGACAACTTTTTACGAGTGTTTTTAGCTTTTTTGACGGTGTAGTACATTTTCGACAAATGCTGGAAATTCAGTTATTACCGTTTACCTGGGATAACCTTAAAAGAAGAATCACAGTAAAGTGGAAATCTTATGTTCGAAATCAGCGTCTTCCATTACCATAGTATGGAAGTTTTTGGCTTGTTTGGTTCTGTTCCGAGACAGAATATGGCCTCCAATGGCCTGAAATCCTTGTCGAAGTTCATACCGTAATTCTACAGTAGCGAAGAGCGATCGATGATTCGCTTTATACTGCAAATCTAAGCTGAACATCGCTCTATAGAATGGTGCCTCAATCTCGGCGAAAGACATGAAAGCAAGAGAGTTATTGGCGATCAAACAGTGTTCACATTTTTTTGGGACACCCTGTATGTCAAAGTTTGAAGAGACGAAAGCAAATATTTTCCAACATGGATCTTCTAGTAAAACGACGGAAGCCCTGCACAATACGCCGGTTATTGAAATCGCTTCTCACAGTTAAAAAGATTAAGGCGTTACATTTTGCCAACATCAACCAAAAATTGTCCAGGAAGTGCCAAAATATTAGGTCGGTCCGAAAGTTCGTGCCGTTTTTCAGACCTATGCTTAAACCACTTAGAATAAAGATAGGCAAACGCTGTATGCAATATTCAATGCAGAATTTCTTCCTCTTTCTAATGTTTATGTTTTTGTCTGAATCCCCTTGATGACTGCGCAAAGAATCGTCAAAGTCATGATTTTTACCCATCTTGAGTTTGATTTTTTAAAATTTACATTTTCAACTTTAAGACTAATACAGTTTTCTGACGTCTCTAGAAACTTCTTAAAAATTTTGAAATATTTTTCTGATGATATCAAGTTCCCTTTTGGGCATTCCAATTCTCACGAACAATAAACGACTAGCAGTCAAGATGTCATTCGATGCAGCTCTTTCTCCTCTTTCTAAAAGACTTCTTTTCTTTCTGAATTGTTTGATATTTGAGGATAAAATTATTACAATTTCTGTTTTCAGACGCGTCCTAGGCTGTACCCAGAAAATTTGGAATATATTTCGAACCACTAAACACCCAGTTGCTTGCTACTACTAGTGCTGAGTCATAATCTGTTTTTGGAAGTTTAAAATTGCGAAAATTTGTCACCGTTTGAAGCGATTGTGTAATTCGCTACTTCGCAAAACTAAGGGCTTTTAGAAAATTATCTTAAGAATCAATGATAAGTTAGTTAATGAAGCCAAAATAATTCATTGCATTGCATTGTGTCTACTCTATCCAAGTAATCAAAGTTAGTCTAAAAGTTGAAAGTGGAAATTTTAAGAAATAGCCAAATTCAATATGGGCGAAAATCATGGGTTGGAGATCCCTGCCGATCAATGAGCGAACGTTAAGGAATCTAAGCAATAACATAGCCTTTAGAAAGAGGAAGAATTTCTGCATCGAATTTTGCCTACTGCGTTTGTCTATCTTTATTGCGAGTGGTTTAAGCATGGGTCTGGAAAACGGCACGACCTAATACAAAAAGAATTCGAAATCCGTTTTCCTGTGGGCTTGATTTGAAGGAAGCGGCTCTAGAAATTTGAGCGTAACAGCCTTCGGCTCAATTAATCTTTGGAGTCATTCAGCAGTTAACAAAAAATTTATACACAGGCGCGTAGGAAAGTCGATGCTCAGATGATCTGAATTGATGCCTCCAGTTGAGTTTCCGACAGGTGATATGACAACCGCCCACCTCAATGCAGTAAGCATGCAAAGTGCTGACAGTTGGCCATCCGTTCACCTGCCGCGTTCAGCTGATCCTCACCTGTCAGTTCACGTTCCATTAAAACGTAAACTGATGCGAGCAGTGTGTAGAAGATGGAACTAAAGAAGGCTGTTGTAATTTACTCCTGAGTATTATCTTACGATATAGTCAGTTTATAACGGGACATGTAGAAGAAATAAAGAGTCAAGAGCCATAAGTGCAAGCTGGTGTCTCTTAGCAAGATCTGATAAGCTGGCCACAACTCTGACGTTGTTACTTTTTTTCGAAAATTTTTCGGCTAAAAAGTAGGTTAGAATGCGCAACAACGTTTGAAAAAAGTTGAAATTTATATCGTTCCTCTTCCCCTGCTCTTCCCTTCCCAAGGAAGAACTTCTTGAATCGCCACTCGCTTTGCGAAATCGACGAAATGGCAAGAAGGAGTGCCAAACATAAATTCGCAAGGAGAGTGAGTAATTCACTTCATTGTTAGTACTGTATTACACAGCTTTTTGACTTAGTATCCATATTTGCTGAAACCACGACGATTTTCTAACGCAGCTGTGAGCACACAATTCACTCAACTACTTGCTTTCCCTTTATGGGAACTCAACACTATGGATTTTTATCGAAAAATGTGTTTTGGGGTTATTTCACGTGCTGATCTTGATTATAGTGTCCACTTAGTTCACAACTGTCCATAGTGGGGCTACGGTAGCAGTACGGTGGGAATTCCGTAAAAATCACAAACTGATAATAAGGCGGTTTTAGAACTTTTCGAGACTAACATTTTCGTAATCAACATACTGCAAACCTGTACACGTAAGAATTCAGCTTCCTAGGATGAACAACGCAAAAAGTCAATAAAATCAGTAAAATCGATATTTGATGGTCTAACATCAGCCTCTTGGCCGCCCCGTATTTCTCGTGCATGTTTATTTGATTGTTCAGATAAAGCATCACTTTGCGAAGAATTGAGCTAAATCTGTGCCTTATCTCTGTCTAGGCTATACCTACCGTAACATTACCTTACAGTATACCGAGCTCGGACCATACTGACTGGTGCTTTGCCTAGACGTCCCCAATCATGTGCCAGAACCGTAAAATTCCATCGTGAACTAGCAAAGCTAGAGCTTTAGGAATCTTATGACCCCTGGTGGATCGCATTGTCCGAAGTGGCAGAACACGTACGACCCACCGGTGGGTCGCATTGTCGTGAATGTGTTAATAGTAGTGTAGACCCTTCCGAAAACTTTGCTGGTCAACCCTTTTCTAGGGTTTGTTTTGTTCAGATTCGCGTAGGTGTCACAAATCTCCAAGCAACAATGATAGCGTAGACTATGCATCTACAAAATCAGTGATCTTAAAGGCAGTGTCCGGGCAAAAACTCGATTTTGAGATTTTGTGCTTATCCAGGCCTATTTGCTATGCTGAATCCGAAAATCCACATTGGAAAGCGCGGAAACGGCGAGAAAGGGCTCTAACACAGGAGAGAAATCAGCAGGTGGGCGGGGCTTTCCCCAGTGCGATTTTAAGCTCCCAGCTCCCGGAGCGATTTCCTCGATTCCGCTAGCCGTCCTAACATCGCTACCGGTCAAGTGCGAATGATTGACTTGAAATCGGAAGCGAGAAGGTCGCTCCGGAAGCCGGGAACATGAATTCGCAGTGGGGAGGACCCCGCCCACCTGCTCATTTCCCTCCTGTGTTAGAGCCGTTTTTCGCCATTTTCGCGCTCCACAATGTGCATTTTTGAATTTAGCGTGGCGAATAGGCCCAAGTAAGCACAAAATCTCAAAATCGAGTTTTTGCCCGGACACTGCCTTTAAATGGACTCAAGTATGAAAGAATTTATAATAGTTGCTTTACTCCCGTCGGAGATGACAGAAACTCACTAAGCGATTGTAGCTTCATAAGTCAATCCAAACATTTTGCCTACCATTTTTGAATCTGTATTTTCACGGAATGCAGTCTCGACTCAGTGTCTGACGTAAAATCGTCTTTCTCTAATTTCCTCGCGGAAGATCAATAATATCGAGTTTACCAAAATGAGATATTAAATCTTGTTTATTGTTTGTTTCTGTTTTTTAGCATTGTATTGTTTTGTTTGTTTCTGTGTGGTTTCCAACAAGCGTTTGTACGAGTTTTAAAAAGTCGAGTCACTTTAGGTAGCAGAACGTACCCAACTGCTAAACTGATAAGCACTCATTATGTGGATGGAATTCTACAGCAAAGCAAATTTTTGTGAGGAGATTTTTTTCGTAATTGTCTACCATACCATCTTTTTTGTGAAAATTTTTCCAACAGTTGTATACTAAACTGATTTGAATCAACTACGGCTAATTAGAAATTTTTATGAAATGAACAATATTTTTGCACAATACACAGAGCCAGTGTCAACATTGGAGTGAATTTATTTATTCCAACCGTTTAGTCTCATTCTTAAGAGGTATGTATTCGAGGCGCTTTCTCTCCATACAGTCCTTCATGCAAGTGTCATTGCGACGAAAACCATTTGGTATTCCGGTCAGTATACGTATTACGGTTGACGGAACGGATTCCATGCACTCCTTTGTACACTGTAAAGGAATTCACGAACTTGGTAGCACAGAATACTGATCAAAAATGACTCACCTCTTTATTAGCCTTTTCAAAAAGTTTCATTGCTGGATGTGGTTCAAACCACGAAAACAAGCCACCGAAACAACCACAAGTGGACGACTTAGCGTTTGTTTCTTTCTGGCAGCTTGTTTGGTCTTGTTTTGGCTCATGGTCTGGACGTCTGTATGTTTGGTTACGTTCTGCCATGCATTCCTCCAGACAGGAGTATGGGTAAAATGCTTGAATATAATCAGTACCACGGACACGAAAATAGCTCGCGCACTTGCTTTTACACTGAAAAATGATTGACATACTCGGTAGCAAGATCACTGATCAAGAATGACTCACAAACTTGAGAGCTTCGCTATAAGCTTCCTCCTTTCGTGACCGTGACGAAAAACAGTTATCAAAACAACCGCAAGCGGACACCGCAGCGATACTCAGGACCAGAACCAGCAAAAAATTGAGAAGCATTGCCCTCTTATAACACAGTGAAACTCAGGACGCTGAATTACTCTAAACGACATTTCGAGAATACGACGTACATCGACGCTTATCACAAGAATTGCTTCGAATTTTGATTTATAGAAAGGAGAAAGTCGCTGAAATTCTCGTTTTTTACATGTGTTTGCAGATAGCCTTAAGAAAATCGCCCATGGTCGAAAAAAGAGATTTTAGACCAGGTGGGCAGCGAAACCGAAAACCAGGTAACCTGCTGATTTTTCTGAAGGAAAACTTGAAAGATTCACAAATGCAGAAATAAAGAAAACAGCGATGAGATGAGTTTTTAGGCTCACTTTGAACTGTAATTGCTGTATTGTAAGGGCAATCCAAGGATTAGCTTTGGTAAGCTTTGAAAATTAAATCTGATTATGGCTTATATAATGGCATTTCATGAAACAGCTGATTGAAAGTGAGAGAGTTCATGCTTGGTACTAGGAATATCTACTCAGCTGCGTTGTAATGGGAATTTGTTGAAACATAAAGCTATCCATTCAAAAGTTCATTATAATCTTATTTACTCTACCAAATAGCAAATCAACCACGCTTATTATGAACACTTTCAATTTGACCATAAAAGGAAAGCAAGGGTTTATGTTGTGTGGTCACAGCTGCGTTGTAAAATTGATACGGTTTCGGCAAACATCAATACCAAATCAAAAAGCTGTGTAGTACAGTACCAAATGCTGAAGCAAATAAGTGGCAGAATCCGAACAGTAGAGGACAATTCCAATTCAACTGCACAACTGCTCTTTTTGCGTGTTAAACAGCTGCCATAACTACAACAGAACAATCTCTTTGTAATCGTCCTCCGTTTATTAGATTTGTCTCTAATATATCGTCCGAGATTTGATTCCGAATGTATTATGGAAACTTTGATTTAACTGGCTTGGCTGATGAAAGGCGGGGCTTTGTGACCTAATTAACGCCGCTCGCGCCCGCGACGCAGCCTGCGTCTTTCTCGCGCGTGCTCTTTGATCATTATCTAGCTTTGACTAGGTCACGCATCGGCACGCCTTCCTGCCGCCAAGTCAATTGAATCGAATGTTAAATTTGTTTCAACTGAATGTTAGTGTCACATTTGAATCGATCAGTGAACAAAAAAACAGCCAATCAAACTGCTTCAAAATTTTTTTCCGTTTTTCTCACTATCATAATAACACGAACAAAGGTGGGCAGACACCCTAAAAAACAACTCAACGCAACTCATCTTCCTCTTTTCAAAAAGTCATATTCGTGGATTGTTTCTTTTCATGGTCACTACAATAATAATCAAAATTCTGAAGCTGTGGGCTTTACCAAGCCAAACTTTGTAAATTGTTTGAAATTTCATTTTAAATTTTATTTTAAAGCGGTAAACGCTTTCTGTGTAAAATTGATAGGGAACGATACAGTTCTTGATTTTCAAATTTCAAAGACTTTTCAAAGATTGCTTGATGTGTCTATGTGTGACCCTAATTTGCGAGTTGAACACTTTTGAAAGTATACTTTTGAAATACTGGAAAGCTATTAGTTGTAGATGCTCAGAGAGTTTTTTGTTACAGTTAGCTCAAACTATCCACATATTAGTGAATATCATGTGAAAATTTACGAAAATTCCGAAAATTTGTTAAAATCAAGCGTGGTAAAAACATAGTCGAGCTATGTTAGCTAGCTGTTAGCTGTTAGCTTTCTGCTATTTTATTAGTGAGCACACAAGGAATTGGTCCAGAAACATGACTAACAAGAAGAAAACTAAAGCTAATAAAACAATTTATGAATTGTTTGCCCATCTTTACTTTAATCGCTTTTAAGATAGCGAAGAAACGGAGAAAGCGTTTGGGACAACCTACTCATCTTCCAAAATTAACCAATGCAACTTTCTTCTATCCAAAAATGAAGCTGTCCACCTAACAAGGGAATGGTCAGAAATCGAAGTGGCCAATCCAGACAAGTTGCATACCATGAGATGCAGCATGAAGTGCTGACTCTAAATCTGTCTTCCTTACCTGCTTATCGCTTTTCTGGACGAAGCTATAAGCCATTAAAGACCATTATTTTGCTAAGAAATTATGCGTGAAATTGAAAATTTAGCCGTACAGAGCCACGTTCGCCTTAATGCTCGGCCAAAACATGCAGCTAGCTTACTTCAAATTTTTAAAGCCAGAAGCTGAGCTGAAAGTGCACAATGTGCTCAATTTCGCTGTTTTTATGTACGATTTTTTCACAATAAAACCGCTTGTAGCTTCGTCCACAGAAGCGATAAGCAGATAAGGAAGACAGCCTTGAAATCAGCGTTTTATACTGCATCGAATGATATACAGCTTGTTTGATTTGGCCACTTCGACTTCTGACCATTCCCTGGTAAGTTATAGTGTCCACTTAGTTTACAACTGTCCATAGTGGGGCTACGGTAGCAGTACGGTGGGATTTCCGTAAAAATCAAAACTGATAATAAGGCGGTTTTAGAACTTGAAACCGACATTTTCGTAATCAGCATACTGCAAAACCTGTACAATTCGGCTTCCTAGGATGAACAACGCAAAAAATCAATAAAATCAATAAAATCGATATTTGATGGGCTAACATCAGCCTCTTGGCCGCGTCGTATTTCTCGTACGTGTATACAATGTTCAGATGAAACAGACATCACTCTGCGAAGAATCTGAGCTAAAGTCTGTGCCTTATCTCTTTCTAGGCATGCCTACCGTAACATTACATTACAGTATACCGAGCTCGGACCATACTGACTGGTGCTTTGCCTAGACGTCCCCAATCATGTGCCAGAAACCCGTAAAATTCCATCGAAAACTACTAAAACTAGAGCTTTAGGAATCTTACGAGCCACGGTGGGTCGCATTGTCCGAAATGGCAGAACACGTACGACCCACCAGTGGGTCGCATTGTCTTGATTGTTAATAGTAGTGCAGACCTTTCCGAAACCTTTGTTCGTCAATCCTCTTCTAGGGTTTGTTTTGTTTAAATTTGCATAAGTGTTATAAATCTCCAAGCAACAAAGGTGGCGTAGGCTATGCATCTTCAAAGTCAGTGATATTGAATGTAATCAAGTATGAAAGACTTCATAATAGTTGCTTTACTCCCATAGTGGATGACAAAAACTGGCTAAGCGACTGGAGCTTCAGAAGTCAGTCCAACTATATTGTCTCCAATTTCTGAATCTGTGTTGTATGTATTGCAGTCTCGACTCAGTGTCAGACGTAAAATCGTCTTTCTTTAATTTCCTCGCGGAAGCTCAATAATACTGAGTTTACCAAATTGAAAAATTAAGGCCCACGACCTTCCAACACAAAGAAATCTTGTTTATGTCAAGCATTGTTTCTGAGTGGTTGTATGAGTTTTAAAAAGTCGAGTCACTTTAGGTAGTAGAACGCTGCTGAACTGCTACATTGATAAGCCATTTTATTCAACTTCCGAAAAGGTGGAAATTTGCAGCAAAGCAAATTTTTGTGAAGAGAGTTTTCATAATTGTCCACCATACCATCCCTTTTGCGAAAAAATTTTTAATAGTCGTATACTAAACTGATTTGAAGCAACTACGGCCAACTAGAAATCTTTATGAGATGAACAATTTTTTTGCACGATACACTGAGCCAGTGTCGGTTTTGAAGTAAACTTATTTACTCCGCCCGTTTATTCACGTTCTTACGAGGTATGTATTCGTCGAGCTTTCTCCCCATGCAGTCCTTCATGCAAGTATCATTGCGATGAAAAGCATATGGCAATCCGGTCAGCAAACGTATTCCAAATGACGACGAGACTATTTCCGTGCACTCTTTTGTACACTGTAAAGGGATCCACTACTTGGTAGCACAGAATACTGAACAAAAACGACCCACCTCTTTTTTAGCTTTTTTATAAAGTTTCACTGCGGGATGTGGTTCAGACCACCAAAACAAGCCATCGAAACAACCACAAGTGGATGCAGTAGCGTTTGTTTCTTTCTGGCAGCTTGTTTGGTTTTGTTTGGTTTGGTTTGGTTGTTTTGTTTGGTTTTGGTTTGGCTTATGGTCTGGACGTCTGTATGTTTGGCTACGTTTTATCATGCAGTACTGCAAACAGTAGTATGGGTAACACGCTTGATAATAATCAGTACCATAGACATGAAAGTAGTGCGCGCACTCTTGTTTACACTGAAAAGTGATTAACATACTCGGTAGCAAGATCACTGATCAAGAATGACTCACAAACTTGAGAGCTTTGCGATAAGCATTCTGCTCTGGTGACCGGAAGCACGAAAAAAGGTCACCAAAACAACCACAAGCGATACTCAGGAGCAAAACCGCCAAAAAAATGGGGAAACGTTGCCCTTTCATAACACAGTGAAACTCAGGACGCTGAATTACCCTGAACGACATTTCGAGAATACGACGTACATCGACGCTTATCACAAGAATTGCTTCGAATTTTGATTTATAGAAAGGAGAAAGTCGCTGAAATTCTCGTTTTTTACATATGTTTGCAGATAGCCTTAAGAAAATCGGGTCGAAAATAGGGATTTTAGACCAGGTGGGCAGCGAAATCGAAAACCAGATAACCTGCTGATTTTTCTGAAGGAAAATTTGAAGGATTCACAAATGCAGAATTAAAGAAAACAGCGATGAGATGAGTTTTTAGGCTCACTTTGAACTGTAATGGCTGTATTGTAAGGGCAATCCCAAGGATTAGCTTTGGTAAGCTTTAAAAATTAAATCTGATTATGGCTTATATAATGGCATTTCATGAAACAGCTGAGTGAAAGTGAGAGAGTTCATGCATGGTACTAGGAATATCTCCTCAGCTGCGTTGTAATGGGAATTTGTTGAAACATAAAGGCATCGCTATCCATTCAAAAGTTCATTATAATCTTATTTACTCTACCAAATAGCAAATCAAACACGCTTATTATGAATACCTTCAATTTGACCATAAAAGAAAAGCAAAGGTTTATATTGTGTGGTCACAGCTGCGTTGTAAAATTGATACGGTTTCGGCAAACATTAATACCAAATCAAAAAGCTGTGTAGTACAGTACGAAATGCTGAAGCAAGCAAGTGGCAGAATCCAAACAGTAAAGGACAATTCCAATTCAACTACACCATTGGCTCTTTTTGCTTGTTAAGCAGCTGCTATAACTTTAACAGAACAATCTCTATGTAGTCGTCCCCGGTCTGTTAGATTTGTCTCTAATATATCGTCAGAGATTTAATCCCGAATATATGATTTAAACTTTGATTCAACTGGCTTGGCTGCTGGAAGGCGGGGCTTTGTGACCTATTTAACGCCGCTCGCGCCCGTGACGCAGCCTGCGTCATTCTCACGCGTGTGCTCTCTGGTCATTTATCTAGCCTCAATCAGGTCACGAATCCCCACCTTCCTGCCGCCAAGCCAACTGAATCGAATGTTAAATTTATTTCGACTAATTGTTGGTGTCACATTTGGATCGATCAGTGAACAAAAAGCCAATCAGTGAATAAACAGCCAATTAGATTGTCTTCAAAAATTTTTCCGTTTTTCTCTCATAAGAACACGAACAGAGGTGGGCAGACACTCTGAACAACTCAACGCAGCTCATTTTCCTCTTTTCAAAAAGTTATGTTCGTGGACTATTTCTTTTTGGGGTCACTAAAATAATAATCAAAATTTCGAACCTGCCTTCACCAAGCCGTACTTTATAAATTGAAAATTTCATCTTGAATTTCATTCAAAAGCTGTAAACGCTTTCTGTGCAAAGTTAATTTTAAAATTTCAAAAATTTTTCAATGATTGCTTGATGCGTTTGTGTGTGGCCGTAATTTGCAAGTTGAACACTTTCGGAAAGTGTACCTTTGAAGCACTGGAAGGCTACTAGTTGTAGATGCCCAGAGAATTTTTTGTACTGCACTTACAATAGCTTAAACTCTCCACATATTACTGAATATCATCTGAAAATTTACGAAAATTTCGGAAATTTGTTAAAATTAAGCGTGGTAGAAACACTCGAGCTTTCTGCTATTTAATTAATGAACACACAAGGAAGTGGCCCAGAAACCTGAACCTGCCCCACATAAAGAAAACTAAAGCTGCATAAAACAGTTTATGAGTTGTTCCCACCTTTATTTCAATGGTTTTAAGATAGTGGAAAAAAAAACAGAGAAAACGTTTGGGACGACTTACTAAATCTTACAGATATAATCGGTACAATTTTTATTCTACCCAAAAAATGAAGTGTCCTATTTAAGGTACATCCCATCAAAACTAGCCAGATACGTCTTATGCTTGCGAATAACATGAACTACACTATTTCTTTTCCCGGATTCGAGATAATTTCAAAAACAGACTGCTACTCGATAACAAAGTTTTCCTAAAGAAAGTGATGAAGCTGCATCTATACAGGGGTGTTACTGCAGATCAGAAAGAAAAGAGATTATACTCACACCTTTTTACCCAAGCGTCGCAATTGTTTTACATCCCTGTAGTCTTCTACTAAGAATTCTTCACACCCTTTTTCTAGCAGAAGAGAAGAGCATGGCCCCTAGGTTTTTCTCTCACTTTTTCCAATTTTGACGTTTCATTACCAAAATTGGGGCTAAATTGACTTCTTACCCAAAGGTCCTTCTACCAGCAGTGCGGCAATCTGTTTTCATCCATTCTCTTGTCAAAAGTAGCAGCAGCATGATTTAAGCCCCAAGATTTTGCTCAGCTACTAGGAATTCACATTCATACCGTGGTCACCATATAGTTTTTTTAAGATAGCACAAACTTGGCCAAGCAACAAGGGAAGACTACTGCCTGTTTGCATTCTTCAATGTTATCGTAGAAAATATTTCCCTTTTTATAAAAAAGTTTCATCGGAATTCTGGAATTATGCACTTTGTTCACTGAATAATATCGGGAGACGGTCAAGAGGCGCGATTTTTCCGGCTGTCACTAAGTTAAATCCCCAGTTTCGTGCTGTGCGAGTCCCCAAAAAGTACCAGATAGAGTGCAGTAGCTTACTATCTGTCTGAGGTTACCGATTGCTGAGTTTGGTGGCTTTTGCTGGAAAATAGACCGAAATATTAGGTTGTCGGATAATTTCTGTTACACTTTTTTCTAAAATTTCTAGGAAATTCCAGAAGCTTTCTGAAAACCTCAAATTTGCAACACGTTTAGGACATAGCAGGGTCTACCCATAAGCACGATTGGTGTCGCAAGTGCACTGATGACCAACAAGTTTACGGCGGTTTTGTAAAAGCAGTCAGATTTTTCAGTTTTTGTCTGATCTTTTTCTCTGCACCTACTTGCGCTTTTCCTCTTCCAGAATTTTTTAGAACGTATTTCAGCATTGTCTTTCAAATGGAAGCATTCCGGTGCCTCCAGCGTTTCAAAAACGAGGGGTGAAGAAAATATCAAAAAAATTCAAAAACTTTCCTAAATTCTTCTTTTTATGTGCATCATATAGAAATGAATACAGAAAACATAAAAATGATTTTTTGAAATTTTTTTGAAGAAGTTTTTTTCGTCAAAATTCCGATGATTGCAAAGTTGGCGCACACTGAGATTTAAACCGCTCAGAAAAACGTGTGCAGACAGTGTCTGCGTTATCCCCCTATATTAGCTGAACGCTACAGACTATGCCCTACCTGGTTAGCACATTGTCTGGTCTATCGCTTATCATCTGAGAAAACGCCAGCTCATTTACAAAAATGCGAAAAAACGGATTTTCAGCCACAAAGTGGGTGTTTTGCGCACGAGTCGCAAATGACTGTACCCTTGTATATGCCTTTTGACCCTGCTCATACGCCGTGAACATGAGATCTTTCCAAAGCTTCTAAGATTTTTAAGAATTAAAATAAAAAGTGTAACAGAAATTATCCGACAACCTAATATTTACCAATTTGTCCTTAACTGCATTTTCATAGGTTTTTGACCTTCAAAATTGTTGTGAACCGATTCCAAGGTAATGAGATTGAACAACTTATGCAGTTATCAATAAATCTCCTTTTAAGATATGAATACTTTTAGGAAGTCATGAAACACTTATTATGAGCTATTTGTTGTCCATCTGGCAATAAGAATCGCGCCTCTTGACACACACCCATAATATCGGGTGTAGGCCCTTCTGAACCCGCTCTAATCGCGCTATCTGTGATAGGGCAGCGCGTCGAAGAGGTCGCGCGCTAATTGGCTTGGGTGAGGCGAGCGCTTGACCTGAAAGGCGCGCCGCGGAAATGGACGAGTTGTACTCGCTCCTTCTCGCTTGGATTATCAACGAATGCTTTTGTTTTTAATTCTTTATTTTTCATCATGTTCCACTTCACATTGATCTTTCTCTCTCGAGGTATCTACAACACTGCATCTTCTTTCTTCTTTTCAGGGCTCAATGAGGACCCAAGGAACAGAATTTTTGACAGGAGGATTGTCGACAAGTGTATGCTTTGTTCAATTTCATTTTTTGTCTTTGTCACGTACTGACACCTTCTATTTTACGTATTTAGGGTGGCACGGTTTCAGCTCTGCTTTTATCCTGTTGAGTACCTTAGGTAAGTGATACATCGCTGTGTTTTTAAACTTGTCCTTGTTTTCTTTCGTCATTTTAGGTTGTTTTCCTAGGACCGAGCCCATGTGCCAATCTACTCAAAACGGTTTTCTGTGCAGAATGTTCAAAAATGACTTCAACTTTTAGTGTTCTAGCCCATTACATAGTTTCGGATGTATGTCAAGAGGCGCGATTTTTATTGCCAGATGGACACCAAATAGCACATAAGAGGTGCTTTCTAACACTCCAAAAGTATTTGATTTTGAAAGGAGATATATTAGAGAGTATCATGGATTGCTCAATCTTGCTACCTTGGAATCAATCCAAAACAGCAATCAAAAAGCCGAAAACTCATGAAAATGCAATTAAGAACAAATTCGTAAATATTTCGTCCAGTTTTCCAGCAAAACCCACCAAACTCAGCAAGTGGTTACCTCAGACAGATAGTAAGCCACTGCACCTTATCTGATATTTTTGAAAGCTCGCATGGCACAAAATTGGAGTTTTACGTTGGTGACAGCAGGAGAAATCGCGCCTCTTGACCGTCTCCCCGTAGTTTCGAGTTGTCATGTTTGTTTTTCGTGCTTTTCCTAAACAGATTTTTTTCCTCACTTCGTTCGCACACTTGCATATTGTTTTTTTTTTCCTTTCTTTCTTGTCGTTAGCGCTTTGGCTACTTTTTCTTTGCTGTTTTCAGTAAACCTTTACCTACTGCATTCATGTACAACAAGTTTTTGCAAGGCTTAAAGGCAGTGGCTCGGCAAATCTCAACCTAGGCAAAATTTGCGCTTACCTGGGGTTTTTCAATACGCTGATCCCGAAAATCCATTTTTGAAAGCTTGAAAGCGGCGAAAATGAGCGTTTTTTTAT